AAAAGACAGGAGTCATGTTGGTTAAACTGTGGTGACAACAGTTTTATGGCGACTGGTTAACACCAATAAAACCTGGTTAATAATGACTGAGTCGACAGTGAAGGCAGCACCAGTGACCACCTGTTGGTGGCGCTGCCTGAACAGCTGATCCTTGGTTAGTTAGGATGAAGACGTCAAGTCTGGGTAGTTAATGGTTAGTACGACATTTGGGGCGAGTTAATGGGTCGACTGCAGCAGTAGATGAACGACAGCCTTCAAGGGAGAGAGACTGTGTGTGTGTGTGTGTGTGTGTGTGTGTGTGTGTGACAGAACAGCTGATCTGTGTCACTTCAACTTCATGTTTTTATTTACTGTTGTTTGTCTTGATGTCATCGTAGTTACACCAGAACAAAATCACCACGGCAACAGTCATCTGTCAATCATCTGTCAATCATCTGTCAATCATCTGTCTCTCCTGTCCTCAGACTCACGCTCGCAGCTCATTGGTCTACCTGGTGTCCCTGCTGGGCAGCACGGAGCACAGCCCCCCCCCCACCCTGCTGCTGGAGATCAGAGCTCTGTCTGACCGCTACCCGTCTTTACTGGGGGGTTGTGGGAAGGACGTCTTCAGGATGAGCAACTCCTTCACCTCCATGGCCCGACTCTTAGGGCGACACCTGGAGGAGACCAGGCCACACTGCAGGTCCAGGGAGTCTGGTCTCCAGACCTTCTTGTTCCAGTCTCTGTCTGTCGACTGTGTGACAGAGGGTTTAGTTAGTTAACACCTGCTAACAGTGGATACTGACCAACAAGTGTGTGTGTGTGTGTGTGTGTGTCGTACATTGCGACACGTCGCTGTACGACAAATATTCCTTCACCTCAGGGAATCGTTTGTTGTTGCTGCTAATGCAGGCTTGACTTTTATGAGTTTTATTAAACAGAAACGAAGCAGTTGCTCAACTATGAGTTCATTTCAACATTGACAGCAATTAGTACCAGAAACCGTCGTAAAAATCAGACGGATTAATGTGTGAAACCTGCCTCAGAAAATACACGAAGAAACGGCGACCGCTGCACGTTTGTTCAGAGTAAACCTTCTGACCGGTCAGGGTCAGGGTCAGGGTCAAAGGTTAAGGTTCCTCTGACTGGACGCTCTGTATCATCAGCAGCAGATTCATGGGAGAAAAAAATCCAACGGTTGCGTGTTAACGTAGAAACGTCGACTGGGATTCATTTGTCAGGAACGGCACGAACAGTTCTTTATGAAATAAAAACAGTGTGGGGGGCCGGGGGGGGTCTGGGGGGGTTGGACGCTTCCAAAGACTTCGCTTGGGGTCGTTTTGTAAGAGCGATGGAAGGGGTCGGGGGAGAGCGTGAGAGAGACCAGAGTCCAGAGATGAAACCAGTCTAATAAAAACAATGGGTCCAGTCACCTGGTCCAGTCACCTGGTCCAGTCACATGGTCCAGTCACATGGTCCAGTCCAGGTCATGTTCATTTAACATAAAAACAAGAAAATAATAAATAAAAAATGTTGTTCCACTGTCAGAACGAGATACAGAAACTGTTTGTTATTATTTGATCAGAAAAGTACGTTTTTATTGAGACCATTTTAGAAAAAATGTTTCTCAGTTTGTCTTTGTTTCATGTTCTACAGACGTGAGGAGCAGCGTGGAGGAGGAGGAGGAGGAGGAGGAGGAGGAACGGGGTCTGAAGGACAACTTCAGCTGAAGATCCAGGCCTTTGTGGAAAAAATGGCGACAGAGAAGTTGGAGAAGGAGGTGGAGGAAAAGTCTCCAGCCTCGCTGCGACGCTACAGCCTGAGTCACGTGGTCGTGGACGAGCGACGAGAGCTGAGGTTCAACAGGTCAGAAAAACAAACAGGAAACAGGTCGTGTTTCTAACAGGACTGTGGGTTCAATTCCCTGAATATTTGATGAGGACTTTTGCTGTTGTTTCATTGACGTCAACAAGACGGGTCTAGAACTGGGTCAGAACCTTCTCCTTGAAGCTGTTGGTCCAAGATGGCGGCCGTCGGTCACATTGTTTAGAGTTACAGTTTTATGAACTGTAACAGGAACACACCCCCTGGTGGTGAACGTCACCAACTACAGAGTCACCACTCTGATTTCCTCCTCAGGTCCAAGAGCCTGGCTCTCCACACGGGGCGCTCACGCTCCATCACCTCAGACCCCGGGGAGGTGGAGGACGGAGTGGAGTGGGTTCCAGAGAAGTTCTCCTCCAACACTGGTCCAAACCAGCGACCAGACGACCAGGAGGAACCGCAACGTGACGACTTCGTTACGATCGCCGCTGAAACGGAAACGACTTCCAGGGAATTGGAGGAAGAAGACGTGAGTCCAGAGAAGGACGAAGAAACGTCCGACCGACTCTTGGTCCATTTAAGATCCAACATGGAAACCATCAGAACGTTCTGTGAAGATGTGCTGAAGCAGATCCCAGTCCCACAGCAGTGTGTGATAGAAGGTAGGACCACCGGAGCTTCATGGAGGTTTACTCCTCGGAATCACCAGTTATTTACCTCTAAATAAACCTCCCTTTAAAAAATAAAAACCCCTGATGAAAAGTCCTCAGAGTCAGAGTGAAGGTGGAGAACCAGGACCAGAACCAGAACCAGATCCAGATCCAGGACCAGGTCTCATTAGAACCAGATCTGTCTGTTCAGCACAGGTGTGCAGTGACGTGAACATTAGGACAAAACCATCAACACTCTGTGCTGACACAGGTCAGAGGTCAGAGGTCAGGGAGGTTCAACACACTCTGAACCACATCTTCATCATCAACAGCTCCTCAGACCTGACTGAGTGAAGACTACACTGTCTACACACACACACACACACACACACACACACAGATCTTAGTCAAATCCTGGAAATGAAGACGTGATGTCACAGAGATCCTCAGATGAATGATGTCATCATCCTGCCCCCCCCCACACACACACACACACACCGGTGACAGATGGACACTGAGCTCCTCCTGGAGGTCTGATGACATCATCGCTCGGTGACAGTGTTGTAATCATGTAGTATTTGGTTGAAGTACAAGTGTGTACAGCTGAACTGGATCAGTCTGGTCTGAAAGACTCTTTTGTTCCT